GGGCTGCCTTTCCAGCCCTGATCGCTTGCACCACAGTCATCGACTGTACATCGGTGATGCGGCGCCCACATGTGCGCCGGTGGTATGAATGCCCGCTTCGGGTGATCCACACCTCCATGGCAAGATCTTGGGGCTTCAAGCATCCCGGCCCAAGGCTTCAGCATGCTCCTCTTAGCCCACAGGGTGGCCGCGATCGCCCACCAGCCCGGCCAGGAAGCACAGATTCGGTTCCTGTGTTTACTCAGGGTTGTTTCGGACTTACTCATCCCCGCGGCCCCGCTTGGGTTCAAGCATACACCACGCAACAGCAGCTTGCTTTCAAAAACTTCTAGCTTTAGCTTTTGACTTTCCAGCTTTGCTTCATGCTTAGGCTTTTAGCTGTCAGGACTACTTTTCAGCAGCTTTAAGCTAAGCGAGTCCAGCCAGCCTCGTGCATGGACAACCTGCCGGCCGCTTCCCGCCCTCAGCTGCAGCTCCAACTGACCGAGGAGGTCAGATCATTGATCGATAGGTTCGTCGACTTGGAGGCTGAGGGGGCCGCACAACGAGCGGAAATCTCCCGCTTGCACTGCAGGGTCAGCCGGCTTGAAGCTCAGGTACACCAAGGTCACAACTGGCTTTTGCACCTAGCAGACAGGGCCACCTCGTTGGAAGAGGTTACACAGAAGCTTTCTATCAGGCTGCGGGCCTTGGTCAGCCTGCTTCGCGAAACGCTTTCTGAGACTGTTGCCCGTCTTCGGATCTGGTTCTAGGTATGGCTGCTTCTGGCTCGGGCAGTGGTGATGCACCAGCTTTGCCTTCTAGCAGGGTGGCTACGGACATACTCTTGGCTGACTCATCGCCTTTATGCACGGATGCTGACGCTTTGGAACTTAGGGAATCTTTTCGCAACCACTTTGCTGACTTTGCGGACCCTGAGTACCCTAATCAAGTGCCCTCAGCTTCGGCGCCCACTTTTGAGGTTGCCGATTCAGATGCAGAGGAAGCCTTTGAACCCAGGAGCAAGCTTCGACGCCGCTGGCTTCACCAAGCTCACTGTGCCCCGGTGACTCCTCCCCTACCTATGGAAACCAGCCCAGGTGCATCCAGCGGTGATCAATCTTGGCAGCTTATAGAGCAGCACCAGTCGGAGGCCGAGACGCCTTCCTTTGAGGGGTTCACTTCAGGCTATTCGACCTTTCAGTTTTTGCCGCTGCGATCAACCCCTCCTCGACCCAGCTTGTCAGCTACATCGAGGGCACCCACTTGGCGGGCTCCAAGGGTGTGCTTAAGGTACAACTCCCCTTTTCAGGTGGGGCACACCGGGCGTCAGCCTACAGTGGCTCGGCTCCGCCCACGCTGCCCCTTTTCAGCCCCACTTCAGGCCCCCAGCATCGTACCTGTTCAGCAGTCCACACCGCAAAACTTCCCGGCGGCGAAGGCACTGCCGCACTTTCAGGACGCGTCGGCTTATGCAGCATATCCCACGCTTCAGCAGACTCCTGTTCAGGCATCAATCTCTTTGGCGACTCCGAGACCGGTCCAGTCCTCACCGGCAGCTTTGCGAGTGCCCTTGGAACTGCACCCCCCGGCTTTGCGAGCCCCGCCAGCCGGCATGATGACGAGCAAGGAAAGTCATCAGGCATGCGATGAGCGGAACAAGGCTCTGTTCGACCAGCTTTGCAAATCGCATGGGGCCTACAGCTCGGTGCTCCAGCAGCTTGAAAGTAGCCGCGAGGGTGCAGTGATCCGGTCCCGCTTGCTGAACAAGGTTAGCGACACCACAGCCGCCCGCTACCTTCGCTCTGTTCAGCTTTTCTTTTGTGCCTTTGAGGAGCTGGGCGGCAGCATGGAGGCCATAGATCAGGGCCTGTTCCTCGATGCTTTCTTCGCTTTGTCTCGAGGTTCTGATTCAGGCCCCCTTTCAAATAGCATCAACGTCCTCAAGGCGCTGCGGTGGTATAAGAAACTTCTGGCAATCGCTTGTATGCCCGACCTGTATGGCACCGCTTTCAGCTTGCTCTCCAACCCGGCCGGGCAGGAGAAACGCGAGAGTATACCTCTCCCTTTGTCGTTCGTCGCTTTTCTTGAACGCATGCTCCTGTCTGGCAAGGCAAGCTTGATGGACATGATCTGGGCAGGATCTTTCCTTGTGGCTATTGGTGCTAGCCTCCGCTTTGCAGATGCACAACACATTCGCTGGAGCACGCTTTGCGTTAGCAGCTTCACTTTGCGAGGAATCTGCTACAGGACAAAGACCACTAAAGGGGGATGCCCATGGGGCCTCCTCAGCTTTGGAGTCTTCTCGTCCTCCGAGGAATGGGGCATGACATGGCTTCCGCACTGGCTTGGGGCACTGGACACAGTATGGCGCGAGGTTCGCTCCCGCTTCGGGCCACAGCCGGAACCCGACTGTCTGTTTTTCCTTTGGAGCGATACCGGCTTTGCACCCGCATCCTACTCCCAAGCCCTGCAGAAGCTTCGCTACATGCTTACACTCTCTGGTATAGCACCGGCTCAGGCAGCGCAATATACGCTTCACAGCCTCAAGACCACCTTTCTGTCTTGGATGAGTCAGCTGTCTATACCGCTCTCTTCCCGCTTCCTGCAGGGGCACCACAAGGCTCCAGGGTCAGCTCAACTTTACTCGCGGGACGACGTGTGGCCAGCTTTGCGTGCACAGTGGCTGCTTTGGCGTTCAATACATGCCGGCTTCCGTCCAGCGAGACCACAGCACAGAGGCGGCCAGTCCCCGCTTGTTGAGCCACTTGTGGACACTGCAGGTTTCCAGTGGGCGGAGCACTGCCCGGACCTCCACTGCTTTTCAGTTGGCAACGATTGTCAGTCCTTCTTAGCCCTGGAGCAGCAGGATGGCGACCTCCGTGACGCCCGGGAACGCGTCTCTTCACTTTCCGGAGCCAAGCTTCCACCATGTGTTCGCGCCCGTGCCCAGGTCGACCACTTCGAGGACTCCGACGCGGAAGAATCAGGCCCGGCTCGTGCCGCTTCCAGCGCTCCCCGCGATCCGGAGGTCGATCCCACATGGCAAGATGAGTCCGGTGAGGCACCCAGCCTTTCACCCAACCCGCAGCCGCTTGCTGCCCCGCCCGCTGAGGGTCTCCGTTCTAGCTGTACAGAGGTACGATACCTCCTGGGAGCCTCTGGGGTGGCACACTCTTGCATCTCCCACCCCGGCTCCCGTATGACGTGCTTGGCATGCAGGGATTCTTCCTGTTCAGTACGATGCCACCCCGCTTGTGGTTGCATCTCGGAATTTTCACCTTTTGTCCATTTTCCGCCCGACTCCCGCTTATGTAAGCGGCGGGCTTGTATCATGGCCTCCCTTGATGCAGCTTGAGTGCGGCCAGCTGTTAAAACTTTCGACGTGGGTGCACTGCATTTGGACTGCATCAGCTTAGAGATGCTGCTAACTTGCTGAACTGAGTGCTACAGCTTCATGTTCATCGCTTTCTTAGCTCGAGATGCGCTTTAAGCCCACTTTCTTGCCTCCTTGGGTCATGGCGAAACTTTCCCCTGAGTACGCCTTCACACTCCTCAAGACCATGACTGACGAGGAGAAAACCCGCTTCCTCAAGCAGCTGGAGAACGATCCGCTTCTCCCCGCATCCACTACGAGCTCATCTTCGGTGGAGGCACCCGCTGTGCAACCAGTCGCAGCACTTATGGCAGACCCCATAGGGGAAAACATCGCCGCCGAGGATTACAGCTTACCTTCAGTGGAGCCAGCTGCTTCACCGTCACCTCCGGCCAAAGCGGCACCCGCTTCTGTTACAGCGGACAAGCCCGAGGCCACCAACGACGACGGTGCACCCGCTTCCAGGACCCCTGCAGATGGCGACGGGGGCAACACCGCCACTGGTGGCGGAGGCGATGGTGTTGCCAACGCAAAACGTTGGCAACGGGAACCCGATGAAAGAACCGCCGCCACGGCCGCCCTCTTCACCAAAGGCGAGTCCTTCAACACCGGCTCCGACTGGCCCTCCGCTTAAGGCCAAGAGTGTGGCATCACCTCCGAAGCCCGCTTCGGCTTCAGGTGCACCGGCCGCACCGACTCCCAGCGCCCCTCCTGCGGCCAAGGAGAAAGCTCCTCCACCTCCGCTTGCAGAAACTGGGGCCACCGACGGCAATGCGGGCACTGCAAGAGAGGCAACGCCCGCTTCTACTACGCCAACGCCCGCTTCGGCTACGGCTACGGCTACTCCGTCGGGCAACAGGGCCCCACTTCTGGCGAGCGAGGCCCCGGCGAGCCGCTTGGGGCACACCATCTACGACGGTGAGGGGAACCCCACACTCCAACTAGTCCAGCTTTGGGCATGCCGTAAGCAGTGCTCCCAATGCTCGCTTGGTCACTGCCAGGCTACCTTCAGCGACCGCTCCAACAGCTACCACACCACCCACTTATGCAGAGACTGTAAGCGGGCTCGTGGTAGAGAGCGTCAAGAAGCCGCTTCTCAATGGAGCCAGGGCTATGAAGAGTGGGGCCAGAACCAGTCCGGCTGGGACGATCAACCCGCTTGGGGATCCTGGAATTGGAGTGGCCGCAACTGGCAGCACCAATGATGCTTTTGCCCCCGCTCCATGCTTATGCCGGCTTTGGCATTGAATCGCCCACTTTTGGGCTTGCCCATATAGATCAAGGGCAGCCCCGCTTGGGCTTGTGGGTACAAAGCGCCCGGCTTCTCCGAAGCCAGACATACTCGAGCTCCGCTTCCCGCTTGAAAAATCCAGCAGAGCCACACTGCGCACGCTTTGGAACAGTTCACGCTTTGAACTTGGGGCTTGTTTTTCACTCTTGTTTCCCGCTTGGATCAAGAAAGACTTCCGGGCCCCCCCCGGCTCTGGGTATCCCGCGCTCCCACGTTACAGGCCACAGATGCCCACTTGTCGTCATTAGCAACATGCTTCCCTGCTGCAGGACCACTTCGGGCAACGCTTCATCCTCAGTTTCAGTTCTTCGCCTCCTTTCGGTAGTATGTGCACCTGCTTCAGGTCAAGCGAAGATGTCTGACTTCACGCAACTAGTGGCCGACTGCAATGTGCCAGCAGCTGTCGCCCCCTTGCTTTCAGCATTCGACGTTGCTTTGTTTGCCCGGTCCTGCACCACTTCGGCAGAGCTTGAAGAGTTGGTGAACCACTTTCTGGCTGAAGCCTCAGTTACTGATGCAGCTGAGCGCTTTATCACCAAAGCTTCGCTTCGCTTGCTTTTTTGCAAATGCCGAACGTCAGAGGGCATGGCATCCTTGGAAGCCGCTCCCACTCCCACCACCCCGCTTGGTGATGGGCCTCCAGCTGCTACCCCGGCTCCCCCGGCCACGCCTCCACTTTCCAGCTCTTGCCAAGAGGCTTGGCCTGCGAAGCTGAGTGGGGAGCGAACCGCAGCGCTTAGGAAGAGGTTCGAGGAGGACTACCCCACTGAACTTCTTGACGCCGAGAGCTTTCCAAGCGCCCGCTTATTGGCCCTCACCAATAAGATGCTTTCCGACAAGGAGGTGCGATGGATTCCTTGGAAGTACCGCTTAAGCGCTCGTGCTCAAGAAGACAGTCTCCTCGTTCGGCCCAGGAAACAGGCCCGCTTTGACCTAACAGAGCTTTTTCTGGACGAGGCGCCTACACGTGACATACATGAAGGCCCCGCTTCCTTTGGCCTCGTCACTCAGCTTCTGTCACTGGCTGCCAATGCCATTGCGCTCTGTCAAGGTGCACACCTTGGTTCTCTGAAGCTTTATAATAAACGCTTCATGAGGATCTGCTTCACGAAGTACGATGCCGCCGCCAGCTTACGAGGTCCCACTACCATGGAAGCCCAGGCCGCCGACCGCCGCTGTTGGGAAATCATCGCCGACTTAGTCAATGTGCACCACTGGAAGTTGGACGATGCGCTTCACGAAGTGGCCGAGGTGCGCTCTGACATGCACAGCCTGCTTGCACCGAGGCCCTTTATTCCCAAACCGAAGTTCGACCCGGACAACAGCTGGAAGGCCCGCTTCACAGGCAACGGTCGAGGCGGCAAAGGCGGTGGCCGCGGCGGCAAAGGCCGTGACGGCAAAGGCGAGAAGGGAGAGCGCTTTGAGAGAGGGGGCAAAGGTGGCAAGGGCAAGGACAACAAGCAAGCCACGCCACCCGGCAAGTGGCTTTCCACCCTCTTCATGGATGGCAAACGTCAGACGCTTTGCATGAGGTACCAGAGCGGGCAGTGCAAGGACCCGGCCACATGCCGCTACTTGCACAGATGCGCAGTGCCTAAGAGTGACGGCACCGCTTGCGGAGGCAATCACCCGGCTTCGCAACATGTTGCCACCCCGCATTAGGAAACCCACTTCAGCGAGCTGCGGGACATCGCTGAGGAGGTCACGACCGTCCCGCTTAGTGTGCCGGCACAACCGTCAGGCTCAGCAGGGGCCACTTCGTCACTGCCAAAGGCACGTGCCCTTGTCTCCGATGCAGCATCGGCACTCAGTGAAGGCTCTCTCGACTTCGCTACTTGCTTGGAGCTTCTAGCGCAGTACTTTTCCATTCCCTTCGCTTCTTCTTCTCACTGCCCCGACAATGCCATTGCAGCCTCTGAAGCATATTTCAATTTGGGGGCTTTCGCTTTTGACAATGGCTCCAGATCGGGCATCTTTCAGCGTACCGAGCAGTTTTCAGACGTTCTTCGATTCTTGAACGCTTTTATGCAGCTTCAGTTCCCTGAAGCCTCCTGGAGCTCCCTCTGCGTCAGCCACAACGTTCGCACCCGCTTACACACAGATTCTGGCAACGCTGCAGGGTCTCTGAATCACACAGTTTCACTTGGCAACTTCAGCGGTGGCGAGGTTTGGCTTTGCCCCGCTTTGAACCAGGCGGCTTGTCAGGTACCCGCCCCCTGGGATGCCTCGTCCGAGGCTCACAGTGCATGTGAAGTGGGTACAGGCGAGGTGCGCGACACTTGGCACGCGCCGCTCTCCTTTAGCTGTGAAGCACTTCACTGTACGCTTCCGATACAAGGAGACCGGTGGGTATTGACTGCCTACACTTGCAAGAGCCTAGACCGCTTTGATGCAACGTCACTGGCACACCTGAGGTCTCTGGGCTTCCCGCTCCCGCCGGCAACCCCATGCCACCCGCAGTCAATACATCCCCCGCTCAAGGACACAACATGCGTGGAGCTCTTCCTGGATATATGCTGCGGGGCCGCTCACCCACTTACCACGGCGATGTCTTCATACGGAATCACTTGTCTGCCCATAGATCTACTGGGCGAGGAGCAACTCGACCTGCTCAACGACGACACCTACGACCACTTGCTTCGGCTGTGCTTTGCTGGGATTGTCCGCTTAGCTCACGGATCGCCACCCTGCAAGGAGTACTCCCGCTTGAAGCTTCGTCCAGGTGGGCCTCCAGCCATTCGATCGCCGGATCACATGAATGGTCTGCCAGGGAACACCGCTTCGCAGCAAGCTAGAGTACAAAGCAGCCAGAAGCTTCTATATCGTTGCGTATGCCTCCTGAGAGCAGCTTTTTGTTCAGGCGCGCATGTATCCCTGGAACAACCCACTAACGCCATGTCCTGGCTTGAGCCTTTTGTTCAGGACATGCTTTCCGAAATACAGGCCTCACTGGTCAATATCCCGGCATGTTCAGTGGGACAGGATATAGCAAAATCGTGGCTTTTTGCTTGCAGTTACAGCGAATTCCGCTTTCTGGCAAGCACATGTTCGCATGCAGGAGGCCACCAGTCCGTCGCAGGAACCAGGGACGAACACGGGACCTTTTTGTCCCAGCGGACGGCGGAGTACCCGTCCCAGCTTGCCGAGAAATTCTCAGCGAAGGCAGTGCACTTATTTTCTTCGGCAAGACCTGCTTATTCGGTTTCGCCCTGCTCCTTGAAGTTCGCACTGGCCTCAGTTCCCAAAAAGCCGCGTTCATCAACGCCTACAGCAGCGCAGGATGGCGGGGGCATCTACTCTTTGCCCGACTGGTCACTTGGCCCAAGGTACCAGTCCGACAGCTTACACGACCTGCGGAAGGAATGGCAATCTTGGCTGCTTCAGAACAGAATTCCTCTCAGACTCCAGCAACACGTTGCCGAAGCCAGCAATAAACCGCTTTTCTCAACGGAAGAAACAGAGTGGCTTCGCTCTTCTTTCAAGCGCTTTTCGGACGCTCACTCCCCGTGCCGGACTGGAACTTCTCAGTGACAGAAGGCCAGCCATACTGCTTGTCTGCACTGGAGCGCTTGAGTACTATGCTGGGTGACAAGGACACTTCCCTTTTCCCCGCTTTGCAGAAGGGCGTGCCTACGGGATTCGACGGCGACATCCCTCGCAGCCACACACTCCGACCTCGTGATCCCAACAACTCAGACGAACCCACTGACGAGCAGTTGTAGACTTGTCTACCAACCCCTTTTTGCGCGCGAGGCGAGCCACTTGTGGCGAGCTTGCAAAAATCCAAAAAATACCCTAATCCCTATCCCGTGTGCTTTACCTCACCCTAAGCACCGGTATTTGGTGTGACCATTTCTTGTGTCGTGCCATTCTGAATGCTTGGCCTATCCGTGACATTCATCTCAAGTGGTGGGGGGGCGGGACCGCCAAACCGTCTCGACACAAGTTCTTGACGGGGGTGTGCGGTTAGAGAGCCGTGGAAAGCCTTGGGGCCAGTAGCGTGCATCTAGAAGGTTCAAGAGCTCCTAACGCGAGGTGCTGTTAGGTCGTGCACGCCGTGTGGTCCCGTTGACCACGGCAGATGGGCATACAGCAAATTCTTTTGCTGGAGGACTGAGCAAAGAGCAGTTGCATCTTTAGTAACTTTGCTTAAGGATCCGGAATCACCTGGACCCCGGAGTTGTGATCAAAGGTCAAAGGCGCCTTGCCGTCCTTGAAGGTTGGATGGGGTGCCTGAGGTCCGGATTTTGTTTGCAGCTTGAATAAGAAAAGTTCGTGTGTGTGCCGATTTTAGGAGTGCCTTCATGTCAACTCACGCTTTGCCGCGAGGGCTGCTCTGGGAATCAAAGTTCTTGTTTTCTTCAACTGTGAGAGGCCTGACGCTTTCGGTCTTGGGTGTTTGTGCAATTGCTTTAGCACTCAACGACCGTCATGCTTGGCTCGTTTGCGAACGGTAGATTTTCCTTGACGGCCTTGTGAGTGACTCTTTGTAATGTAAGTGGCTGCGAAGGCGCCCTCTCTCAGTGGATCAGGGTATCCCTGTGAGCCTACATGGGAGACGTGCCTGTGGATGCCGCTGCACTTGATGCGCACTTGTCCTTTTGCATCAGATCGAGTCACCAGTCATCTTTCAGACCTACGTGGGAGACAATTAGCGAGCCCACGAACTTAGTTTTTCGTCTCCCTGCTGCAAGGGGACCGTTGCCGCTGATAGCAGGACCTCGAGCTGAAGCGGCATCTTCCGGGCCCGGCAGTCAGGCCAAGAGACCGTGTGTGTCAGGAGACTCGCCATTGAAGATGGGCAAACATTGGCACGGGATTTCGTGGGAACACAAGCTGGAACGTGAGCTGGTCGCGGGTATTAGGAAGTGGGGTGTGATTATTATGCACTCCCCTCTGAGCTTCGATATCGGCCGGCGTCTGCGAGGTGAGCACAGACTTGAACCCCTCATCTTGGAAAGCCTCGGCCACATTTTTGCTGGGAAGGCAGCTGGCACTCTGCATCAGAGGGCTGGTCCGATGCTTAGGTACATTCGTTGGAGTGTTCAGGCTGCCATGGATCCTTTTCCCCTTGAGGAGGGGCAGGTATACGAGTTTTGCAAGAGTTGCGAGTTTTCATCTGCCCCAACTTTCTTGAGGAGCTTCATTGTATCCATATCTTTCTCTGTGCACGTCCTCGGTGTCACAGGTGGAGCCGATTGCTTGCTCAGCGGTCGGGTGACTGGCATAGCGAGGCTCACCTACCTCGCCAAGCGCAAGAAGACTCGGAGACCGCCACTCACGGTTGCTATGGTGGTTTTCTTGGAGAATCTCGTTTGTGATCCGACTGCCAGGGCAATTGATAGAATCTGCGCGGGTTTCTTTCTTTGCTTGGTGTTCATGCGAGGTCGGTTTTCAGACGGGATGAACCTTGGAAACCTGCAATTGGACACTCCAAGTGGTCTAGCCAATGAGGTGGCTGGATACTTAGAAGGAGAGGTTCTACTGAAAGAAAGACGATGCTTTTGCCCATGGTCTGCCCACGCTTAGGTGTCACAGGACTCGATTGGGCGGGAGTGTGGATGAAGCTACGGGAGCTTCACAAGATGCCGACGGGCAGCGGTGTGCCGCTGCTCCCTGGTACAGGAGCTTCGGGAGAATGGCTACTCGTGCCACCGAGCGCCACTGTCGCTGCATCCTGGCTTAAGGGCATTCTGAGCAAAGGAGGTTTTGATCACGGGGCCCTCGCCAAGTTGGGTACCCATTCGTGCAAGTGCACTACCCTCAGCTGGTGCGGGAAATTTGGTCTCGATCAGTCTGTGCGTCGCACACTCGGTTACCACACAGACCGAGCTGCTGCGATGGTCATTCTTTACTCTCGTGATGAGATTTCCAGTGCTGTGCGAGCTCTGGAGAGAGTCCTTGGTGAAATCAGGGAGGATCGTTTTAGGCCTGATGCCACTCGGAGCGGACATTTTCCTTGCGAGGTGGCGACGCCCTCAGCAGAGCCCGAGGGTGATCCTCCCGACTATGAATCCAACGGTGGAGCTAGCGAGTCGGAAGATTCACAGGACGAAGAGGACAACGTTGGTGATCTCGGAGCCGAGGAAAGAGCTCTGGAGGAGATTGGAGCGCCGTGGAGACCACAGGGCGCTGCCAGTGATCGCCGTATGTTCCGGCACAAACTCTCGAGGATCATTCATTTTGTGGCCGACGAGGCCGGTGCCACTTTTGCATGTGGAACAAAGATCTCTTCGAATTACGTTGAGATGAACAGTGGAGTTTCCTTTTTGCATCCTTTGTGCAAGAAGTGCCACCCGGTCCGATGAGAGCTGGTTCGGGCTGGACCGGAGTGGGTTTGGGTTTGTCACATCCAACCCGGTAGAGGAGCTGGTGCGGGCTCGGGTTGGGTGGATGCTGGTGCCTCCACTCGCATGTCGGCTGATTCGGGCCCGAGCTGGAATTCTGGGCACAGCATCGCATGATACCTTCGATGGCCTTGAAGGATCGTGAGAGTCCTTCTTGGAGACTTGAGTCAGCGCCATGAGGATCGCTTGGATCCGGGGCGATCTGCCCTTGGCGAAAGGGCAAGACTTTGTGTTGACGTGCTTAGCAGTGACGTGGGTCATGGTGGATCGCAAAGTCTTGTCTTGTTTGAGCGTCGAGTCTATGGCGTGCAGCAAATACAGGGTCCTGTGATGTGTGCTGCGCGAATGCCGAGTGAAGTGATTACTTTGCTGAGGTGCTGTAGAGCAACAGTGTGGAGAGGCGAAGCGTAAATACTGCGTGAACAAGTGTGCTTCTCAGAGCTGGCGGAGGGTGTAGTCGTAGCAATGTCGGTCACTGATTCCGCCGCAAATTTCCGTGCGAGGGCCATCGCGCTGGGTCGACGGGGGTATTGACACATTGGCCAAGTTTGCCTTTTCGTCTTCATACACCCCGGGCGCTCAGGATGAGAAGCCTTTTCTTGATTCCATCGCAACTCTTCTGGGTAGGGATGGTAGCGTGGGAGAATTGTCAGTACTTCGACGCTTATTCCATGAATCCTACTCTCTCACCTCTGCTGAGTTGAAGCAGTCAGTGGAACGTGTCGAGGACGGGCCTGTCAAGAGATTGGCTCAGCCAGACAGGGCCGACCGGTTGGCCAAGCAACAGAAACGCTTGCCTGGGATAAGCATCCGAGGTCCTCTTGAGCCATCTGATCGACTCGTGGATCGTTGCGTGGCGATCTATGAGGAAAACCGGCTTGTCTACGTTGAGCTTTCAGCCTGCACCTCTAAGGAAGATGAAATTAAGCAAGCCACGCTCAAGGAGGACAGGCATCTTGTCGTAGAAAGCGGGGGAAATGTTCGACTCAAAGGCCTGGTGAACAACAAGATGGATGCAGACATTTCCTCTGATTTGCTCATGCGGTATGCTCTTACTAGGCGTGGCCTAGCGATGGAGCAAGCGGGAATCATCTCATATACACTGCATGACGCTTGGACCGAGCAACTGCTCGCGTGCCGTTTCCGAGAACCCCCGACAGGGTACAGCCGCGTTTCCTTGCAACAGGTCATTCATGCTGACAGGCAATTCTTCATCAAACTTGCCGAGCTCACCCGGGAAGGAATACAGCTTCAGGCGAAGGGTAGGCCATGTGATTTGCACTTCGAGACAGCTCGCAATCACCCGGATGTGGCGCACCTAATGCAACCCCTTCTTGCAGCGGTGCCTAGACCAGACCCCACATGGACGCCCCGAAAAGGCGACGGCAAGAACAGCAAGGGAGGTAAAGGTCAGAAGGGCGGTAAAGGGAAGCGGGACACCACTGCCATCACTGCTGCGATGCCTAAGGAGATTGCTGATGGGGGGTTATCTTTCACGCCTAAAGGGTACGCAATCTGTTGGGATTATAATCTCAATAGATGCAAGCGCAGAGTGACATCAGGAAGGTGCGACAAAGGGTTGCACATATGCTGCCGTGCTGGCTGCCTGAAGTCTGGGCACTATTACGGCAACTGTCCGAAAGCAGGTGGTTCTTGACTAGGTGTCTCAGGTCCGGTCGGTTCCACCTCCCATCAGGTCGGAGCCGATACAGGTATGAGCGTTGATGCAGCCGGCGGTGCTTCCGCCGAAATCCTTTCACAACAGTTGCTTGAGGCTGACAGGTTGCCCACTCCAGAGGAGATTGAAGAGCTCGTTAGCCTCTTGCCGCATGGCGAGTTGACCGGCGAACGCCGGAGCAACGCGGACGCTTCTTGCAGTGCATTCCATAGCGGTGCTTTTGTACACATCAAAGTGGGATTGCGTCGAAATTGCAAAATCTTCCCAAGCACGACAAAGCTACTATCGAGAATTCTGCGGCATGCCCATCCTGGGCATGAATTTACTTCCTTGCTGCTTTCTGTTGACAACCAGACTGCATTGCATGCAGATAGCCAGAATGCCTTCATCCCAAACTTGGTCGTTCCACTAAACAGGTTTTCTGGTGGTGGGATTTGGGTGGAATCCGATGTTGGCAAAGAGCGTTTGACAGTCGATGGCCAAGAGCTGCTGGGAACCACCTTGGATTTAGGGTTAGGCCCCGTAAGATTTCAAGCTAGGGTTCAGAAGCACCTCACCCTGAGTTGGGAAGGTCGGCGAATGGTCCTTATCGGATACTCTGTACAAGGCGGTGAGATGCTTCAAGACTCGGATAAGGTTGAGCTGGAAGCCTTGGGGTTCGCACTTCCATCGCAGTACCCCGCCACCGGCAACCAGGTGGCTGAGCAAGCGTGCTTTGCGGACTTCAGGAATGGGACCAGCAGCCCGCCACTTCTTGAGCAAAGGCCGGCATATGATCCACAGCACATCGGCGATCCGTCGAGGAGTCCAGTGCAAGGGATCGTCATCGAATTGTTTGCTCGTAGTGGTGCCTTGTCTAGGGTTTTCAAACAACATGGGTTTGAGGTTTTCCCAGTGGATCGTGGGGGGCACAGGCTCCCTTTGTCTAAGTTGTGTGCCCTTGATTTGGCGCAAGCGTCGAGTTGGACCTACCTCGAGGAAGTTCTTGAAACCTACCCAGTTCTTTATGTCCACGCTGAGCCGCCTTATGCCACGTTTGGGCCACAGCAGGCGTTTAGGCACCTAGTCAACGGGGTCACGAGCCCCGTGGGAACCGTCGACTCCAAAGCTGTTGATCGACTCGCTTTAGCTGACTCCATGGTCAACCACTTGTGCACTTTCTTGCAAAGCGTGGACAAACGAGGTATTCCTTGGACCTTGGAACACCCAAAGGCCAGCCTTCTTTGGAATCTGCCGAATGTGCGGGCTTTGCCTTCAACTTCTGAGGTTGTTTACGATCTTTGTAATTTCGGGTCTGCCCTTAAGCTTCGCCGCCAACTTAGGACCAATTGCAAGGCTTTAAGGTCCCTAAACTGCTTGTGCAAAGGCGACCATTCGCATGGCCAAGTCGAAGGTGGAGTCGTCACACACCCTCCCGAATTCTGCAAACATGTCGTCCAGGCAATTGCGCGGCACCATGGACTTGCTTGCCCCGACGTGGCTTTGTCATCCACGCCAGCTGGTGTTGCCCAGCAAAAGAGAGGCAAACCTGAAGCTTCGCTCCTGCCTGAGTTCGGCAAGGTCTTGCAGGTAGATGTCGATCAGGTTCCGCCAGTGAACCACAAGCAGTGCCTCACTCGCCCGTTGGGCGAGGTGCCAGCAGGATCCAAGCTCATCGCCACGTCTCTTCTCAGGGGTGATGCGGGTGGCGATGCGGGTAACGAGGGTAAGAAATTTCGCCTTTCTTTAGGAGTCTTTGCCACGCCAGATGAGTTCGTTGATGCGGCCAAAGACTTGCTACATCCTTTTGCTGCTTCGGCTGTTCTGTCGCCTATCGTGAAAAGGCGTTTGTTTGAGGCCTTGACCAAAGGTCCTGAATGGGTTCAGCGACAACGGTGCTCCAAATTGAAATTGTGGCTTAGCTGGGCCAAAGAACTGCAAGTTGCCGAAGGAGAAATGAAAGGTAAGCTAGATCCTGACATTGGCCGTGTGCTTCGAGGCAAGCGCTTGTTGCTTCTTAAGCGTATTGCTGATGATATGGACTGGCCCGACAAGGATTGGTTGGGTGAGCTCTTGGAAGGGTTTGACTTAGTCGGTAGTCAGAAGCACACCGGGGTCTTCAAGCGAGAGTTGCGACCACAAGCAAGAACTAAGGCGGACTTTCTTGATGCTAGCAAGTTCTTGCGACCGGCACTTCTGGGCAAGGTCGCCTCTGAGGGTCTGAACGAGCATTCTCAGGAACTCTGGGACAAGACCTTGGAAGAGGTGACGGACGACCTTCTTGAAGGACCTCTGACGCAGGAGGAGGTTCATGCCAGACATGGTGACCATTGGGTCCCGGTTAGGAGGTTCCCGGTGGTACAATCTTCAGCGGGCAAGAGGAAGCTTCGACCGATTGATGATTTTTCGGAGAATCTAGTCAACGGTTCTTTTTCGTATGCCGATAAGATTGACTTACGTGCCCTTGACGAAATCATTGCCATCTGCCGATGCTGGACCCAGGCATGCACTTCAGAACATCAGTTCTTTTTCGCGATGCCTGAAGGGCCACCGTTGGTGGGCCGTGTCCACCCTCTGTGGGTCAGCGGGGCTTGGGAGCCTTTGCTTACAACGTTCGATTTGAAGAATGCTTATCGTCAATTCCCATTGTCACCAGGCAGCCGTGCTCATGCGATCATTGCACTGTTGGACCCGAGCAGTCTTGGCGTGGGTTTGTTCGAGTCCAAAGCGCTACCCTTCGGTAGCACGGCGTCGGTGGTGCACTTCAATCGAATGTCACGTTTGTTTTGGAGGATTGGCCTTGAACTTCACCTGTGGTGGAGCAATTTTTATGATGACTACCCAGTCATGACGCCAACACTGCTTAAGGATTCCACCATGGCGACTATGATGCTCCTGTCCCAGCTGTTAGGGTTTAGTGCCTCCCTTGAGAAGTTGGCCCCATTTTCTTCGGTTGGTACGATGTTGGGCGTTGAAGTAGACTGCAGTTCAGCGCCCGATGCGCTCATCCGTGTTCGCAACAAAGAGGGTCGTGCCAGCGAGGTGTGTGAGGTCATACAGGGATGCATTAAGGCTGGTGTGGTAAGGCAAAGAGATTTCGCCCGTGTCGCTGGCAGGATTCAGTTCTCAGACTCGCAAATCATGGGACGTACCGGCAAACTAGCTTTGGCCGAGTTGCGAGCCTCATCGGCCAGGCATGCTGACAAGTTCCGTCTTGGAGAGCAGGAGGTTAGGGCCTTTGATTTCTTGGTCAGTCGACTGTCCTTTGGTGCTCCTAGGGTTGTACCCTGTTCGGTTCCTCCGAAACCGATTCTTGTCTTTACCGATGGCGCCAGCGAAGGATCTATCCACACAGTGGTGGGAATCATGTTTGACCCGCGAGAACAACAACCGAAGTACTTTGCTTGCCATGTGTGCGACAGTGTCGTCTCGACCTGGTCCCGGGACCTTCAGCACATCATAGGTCCAGTCGAGGCCTACGCTGTGCTCACAGCGAGAAAGGTCTTTCATCAGTCTCTGTCGGGACGATATTGCGTGTACTTCATTGATAACGACGGGGTACTACTTAGCTACATCAAGGGTACGTCTTCTAGCAAACCTATGCGAGATATTTTGCTGATGTGGGAGTCCTTGGAGATGCATGCTCACACGTGGGCGTGGTGGGCTCGTGTGCCATCCGCATCCAACCCAGCCGATGCGCCGTCAAGAGGCGAGCTGGATGAGCTTGTCAAAGCTGGGGCATTGCGTGTGGATTGTGATTGCCCGCTTACCGGTACAAGACTTGTCGACTTGTAATCAAAAGGGGCTCCCGTACTGCATTGTTTGGGGGGATCGGGCAGCCCGGTTCGCCCCGAGCAAAAAGTCCACCGTGCGAGTGATTGAGCTTGATTGGAATCATTTCATACCTATATTTATGGAGTCTCGCCGTTGCATAATTTGATGCCGACTTTTTCTCTTGAATAACATTCTCGAGTACACGATTGGAGGTTTTTGGATTTTTCCGAGCTTAGCAAAAAGAGCAGTTGTAGACTTGTCTACCAACCCCTTTTTGCGCGCGAGGCGAGCCACTTGTGGCGAGCTTGCAAAAATCCAAAAAGTACCCTAATCCCTATCCCGTGTGCTTTACCTCACCCTAAGCACCGGTATTTGGTGTGACCATTTCTTGTGTCGTGCCATTCTGAATGCTTGGCCTATCCGTGACATTCATCTCAAGTGGTGGGGGGGCGGGACCGCCAAACCGTCTCGACACCCACCCACCACACCCTGTCGAGACATCGTTGCTTCGGCTTGCAGCGCCGACTTCTGCTCCCAAGGAGAAGTTCAGTTTTCTGCCAACTTCCGGAAACTTACGCCTCGATTGAGGCGGCGATCTCGGTCGCTGACTCTCGTGACTTTAGCTGCTTCCGAAGTTGTGCCAATCTCACAAATGTGAGAACGCGCCTAGCCCGAGCCTGGATCGGGCAGCCCGGTTCGCCCCGAGCAAAAAGTCCACCGTGCGAGTGATTGAGCTTGATTGGAATCATTTCATACCTATATTTATGGAGTCTCGCCGTTGCATAATTTGATGCCGACTTTTTCTCTTGAATGACACGTTTCCGCTTGCGGATGACTCTTTCCACTAAAACTACAAGGTTGTTTTATTTGAGGGTAATCCTTAACCCTCAAAATGGCGACAACCGGGAACCGATTGATTGCATGATTTCAAACTTTTAATTTCTGTGTGAAAGCATGCTTTTATCACACGAATGATTTTCCCAACCTTCAACGCTTGCATAAAGTGTTCTCTATGCATGTTGAAGTTATGAATGTTTCTATGCACCGACGGTTTTACAGATCAAGTGGCATTTCGGGCCACTGAAGAAAAATTTTGTGTGGGCTCTCTAGAGGCCTGTACTTCTGTCTAACAGGTCCGAGTCCCCGGTACCTCGGTGTTGCTCTTAGAGCACCGTGCAAGACTGCCCTGTGGGGCAGTCGGATGGAAGAGGCCTCCCCGGCAGGCCTCGCTGTGTCTGAGGCGTCTGAGCATCCTAGCAGCCTTTCCAGTTTTGAGGCTGTGTCCAGCCACCTTGCTCGCTTGCAGATTTCGCACGACCTCCTTGAATCTCGTGTCCGCGTGGCCGAGGATCGCTTGGATTGGTTGGACAGGCAGGCAGCAAGCTCAGCCTCTCGCATCACCTGGCTTGAAACTTTCATTGCGCATTTGCGGCATCTGTTCCGCCGCTTCATTTGAGATGAGCTCTTCTCTAACTGTCGGAGCCCCCTTAACCCGGAGGGCCCTCTGGATGCACAATGCCAGTCAGCCGGACCGTCGCTTCGCCCGCACTCAGGCGCTGACCTTCGCTCACGCATGTGATCGCTTTGCCATCGACATGCAAACAGCACAGGAGCCTGCAGCGGAGTTGCAGATTCGCTCGGCCTGGGAAACCTGCTCCGAGGACTCCCTCGGGTTCAGCCAGAGCGGTGAGGTTTGCTCTCCTCGCGATGTGGAAGCTGTCTATGCTTCCTTAACTGACGTGCAGAAGGAGCGCCTGTGTGGTGACTGGCTCTCGCAATCTGGTGCCACGGTTCTTGTGTGCGCTCCACCCTTCGCGCACCCTTTGGATTCGAGTCTCGACTCCTTCCGTGAGCAGTTTGCGGCCATTGCAGGTCGCCTCGATGACTTGGAGGGCTTTACTGGCTCTATCATCGACAGCGAGCACCGAGGCTCATTGGTCAGGAGACTTCAGCGGATCGAGAGCATGCTTGGAGTTGATCGCTTCGGGCAGCCGGCCTAGCCTTTGCCGCTTCTGACCTGTCCCTAACCTGCCTTAGCCGATGCCCCTGTTTCCGGCGGACCCCTAACCCTAGCTCGTGCCAGCGACTTTTGCAAGGTCGCCTGTTTTCCAAGGACCGGTGCGATTTTGAGCTCGGGAGGACATCGTGCTATGAAACTCAGCGCTGTGCCTGCAGTCTCGCATGTTGCTTTGTCAGTTCATGCAAGCTACGCTTCTACGGCTACCCCTTTTCACGAAACTTTTGTTTCAAGCTGTTGACCCACGCTTTGTGCTGCCATGGATTCCCTTGCGGCAGATCCCTGTGATACAGGGGGTCAGGCGGCCCAGGAACCTCCGCAAGGATCCCAGGCCGAAGAGGTCCTCTTGCAGCCAGGGCCCCGCGAGGGCTCTCCCCTTCTAGAGGGCCAACTTGGTGTGGTAAGCCCCGTCTTGGTGGAGGACGAATCAGGCGATCTTCAGTTCCAACAACACCTTGATGATCTGCTGTCTAGGGCGGGAAGTTCTGCCAGGGACCAACTTGATCGCCAGGCAGCTGAGGACGGCACTTTCGGTGGCGTCAGTGGCTGGAGTGATCTTGGATCGGAGGCTGAGGAAGCGTGGTACGGCGAAGCTCGTCAACCGGCTAGTGACGATGCCGAGGCTTCCGTCTGGTCTATAGTCTACAGTGGTTCCGAGGCTCCAAAGCCCCTGGCTTCACCCATGGATGACAGGGACGTGCAAAGGGTCGCGGCGGAGCTCGAGAGAAAACAGGCAGCTGAGGCCGTGCCTAAACAAGCTTGGGAACAGCCGGGAAGACTGAGCTATTCCTGGGAAATCAAGCGACCGCTGAAATTGGTGGGGATCCCAGAGGTCGCTTCATCTTTGGACCCTGAGCCTGAGGACTTGAGGGCAGAGCTCAAGTTAAACCCCATGGTTCGCAAATACCTGGACAGGATGCCTGTGCAGAGATCAGAGGAGGAAACTAGGTCGCATGCGCTTAAGAATTTGAAGTTCATGATCTTGTTCGACGTGGAGGCGACGCAACTAGGGGTCAGCCTGGCGAGCCTGGTTGGTCGGGCTGCTGACGAGTCCGAGGTAAAGACATCGTTCGTTGCAGCTTTCCGGTTGAAGGCCACCAGCACGCTTGGCAAGAGAACATCGGCGCTCTTGAAGTTCTTCCGGTGGGCGCTGAAACGTGGCATACACTCACCGTTGACTTTTAGTGAGCAGCATCTCTTTGACTACATGAAGGTTTTCCAGGACGGCCAAGGGGGACCAACGTCGGCTTCCCACTTCCTGGAGGCCCTGCGATTCTTGCATGGGGTCGCCGTCTTGAGGCATGTGACCCTTGACAATTGCATCAGTGCTAGAGTCAGGGGCCTTGCGGCGGACCTGTACTTGACAAAGGCCCCTCTGAACCAGCGTGATGAGCTCACTCTGAAAATGGTCGTGGCGCTGGAGACGGCGATCGACCAGGAGGAGGACCGTGATGCTTGTATCATGGGGCAACATTTGTTTTGCCTACACTCGGGGGCGCGGTGGACAGACTCGCAAAGATTGAAGTCCATTGTGGTGCAACACTCCCATGAAGAAACCTTTGTGATCGCGGAAGGGCTCACTTCGAAGACTTCGAAAACTCAGGAGGCAAAGACCCGTCTGTTGCCATATGCTGCCATTGGGTCTGGCGTGAAGCTGCCTTGGGCCAACCGTTGGCTCGAGGCCCGTGAAAACCAAGGGTTGGAGCTCAAGGGATTTGTCTTGCCGGGCTGGTCGGAGACAGCCGGGCGATGGACTTCCATGCCGATGCTGGCAGGGGAAGCCACTTCTTGGTTGCAAGACTTCCTCTTGAGAGCGGGCTTCGAGGAGGAAGAAGTGTTGAAGCGAGGATCTCACTCGCTAAAGGCGACGCTCACTACTTGGACCTCCAGGTGCCCGACGGTGTCCTTTTCTTCTAGTGACCAAAGACTGGTGGGTCACCACGTGAAGCCAAAAGACAAGTCACCGTTGATCTACTCGAGGCAAGCTTACACCGCCCTTTACGGCAAGATCCTCGCGATGTTCCTTGACATACGTGAGGGCCGCTATGATCCGGATTTGCCGGAGGTTGATAGAGTCCTTGCTGCAGCCGCTGAAAACTCGCGTAAGGGGCCAACTGAGCCTAAGGCAAACACGATCCCTCCCGCAATCGGGCCCCTTGAGGAGGCTAGCGGGGAGGAGGGTGGCTCGTCTTCCGAAGGGAGCGAGGAAGCACTCTCGGGGGAAGACCGAGCCGACGTGGCGAGAGCACCATTTCAGCAGCCAGTGGACTTGGAACTTGTGTATGTGCACCGTGTGTCAGGAGTGGTGCACTGCCTGAAGGACTCGCAGAGCACGGATTTCTTTTGCGGTCGTTTCTTGACCGCGGCGTACATGAAATTCGGAAGGGCCGGAGCGGCAGCAGCAGATCCAGACTGCTGCATTCAGTGCCGAAGGGCCCGCGACCGGGAGCCCGTTTGAGGCGAGCTTTCGACTACCGAGGAGATCTGGGCCTGTGCCCATCCTCGGGACCCAGTTTTGCCTGTATGCAGTTCCTGCAAAACATGGTGTGTCGCCCTTAGCCATTGATGTCGCAGAGTTTGCACACATGACTCTTATGTGAGGCACTTGACTCAAGTCACTTAGTGCTAGAGGGTTGCGAGCATGGCCGGTGTGACGCTGGACTCGGAAGCTGCTTTCAAAGAGCGTGCCTTGAAGGTTGGACTTAGTGCTGCAAACCATGCCATATTAGAGGCAGCAGGCTACAACACTTTCGGTGCATTGGCCTTCGCGGTCTCAGCCTCGCCCAACAGCGTCAGTGAAGACGAGGTTAAAGAATGGATTCGGGCAGTCTTCACGCCAGCCCCCGAGCACCACCAGGTTTCCTGCATCAGGCGATTGCTCTTTGAGGCCCAAGCCCTCTCGATCAGTGACATGAAGAATCGAGTGGAGCCTTCAAACGACTTTGTCACCAGGAAGATGCCTGTGGCCGAGCGTCTGGCCAGGCAAAAGGCTCAGGAGTCCCGC